TCGTCCAATAAACATTAAAGCAACAATTAACATAAATAAATTGTTAAAATATTGTCGTTATAATTATTGTGACAAAAAGCTTTTGTTGCATTAGGTTTTGCGCGACGAAGTCTCCGTCTCGCAAGGTTCAATTTTTTGTTTTTTTTTTTTTTTTTTTTTGGGTTTTGGTTACATATTTTATTTTAAATAATAGTTATTTTTTAATTAAATTGTAACTATAATAAATAGAGTAAAAAAACAATGTATTTATATAATCAAAGAGAAATGTATGTACAAATCGAAAGTTTTTACTTTTATTTATTTTTATTTTTTATTAACAAGCGATATTATCTACACAGAGAGAGGTATGCTTAGCCTCAGAATGGGCTAGCAATAAAGTGGTTCAAATTTGCTTTTTTTTGGGGATAATCAAACCCAAGACCTCTCATTTACAAGTGAAGATGAATACCACTAGATCGTAGCACTATGTGGCTACAAATCAAATATTTTAAACTAAGAAAAAGGAAGTGATAATCTATTTGGTCATTAAATAAGGTGGGCTATAGGAGCAGGCTATGGATCAGGCTGCTGGGCAGGGTGCTGGACGAACTCGAAGGTCGACGGGTCCTAGGATTGCTGCAGGTAGATGGGCTGCGTGGTCAACAAGTCTTAGGGCTGCTTCGGGTGGATAGGCTCGGAAGCGAAAGGGCCAATAACGATTAGTGGGAGACAAATGCCTAACGAGCTGAGGGCCTCAACGATAAGTGTGAGCTTACTACTCAGGTTGGCCACCTTATGCATTAAAGCCATGATCTAGCCTTATGGTTGCGGCGATGATGAAGCCCTAGTGGCGTGTTGACGAGCATGGCCCATCCTCCGACAATACTTCCTTGGCCTCCGTCCGAGGGTCTGATTTAAGGTCTCAGTCAGGATTTGAAACCCTGTATCCTCAGGCGGATCCATGGACTCGATCGAAGTGTTCTGGGAAGGCTGGGAGGCAGACTCCTGAAGCACGGACGAATTCTTCTCCACCATCGTTGCCTATGACAATAAGACTCAGATTAGTAATAATTAATATTAAATTAAATGTTATAATACTTGGAAGCGTAAGATACTAATTTAAAATTAACTATTACTTACGTCCAGCTGCTTGGCGAGCTCATCCATTGGGTGAACATAAATGTCCTTAAATGCATCTTTCTCGGGGAATTCTGAACCCCCCTAAAAAAAAAAAAAAAAAAAAAAAACACACAATGTTAGTGCGGAAAAAAAAAAAAAATTATTTGTCAGAAATTGGAAGTGCCAATATTAAACACTTTATTACTTGCTGTCGTGCCTCCATCCTATAGAGGAATGGCCTCAAACCAGAATGGTGGAGAAGAGTCTTCTTATCTCGGTTGATTGTCCGTCTTCGCCTTCTTCTGTTAACATAAAATGAACATATTAGTATAATATTTAAAGAAAATAAAACAAGAATTAACCAAAATTAATAATAATTTTTAAAACTTATAAATAATTAAGCAATAAATATATACATACGTACCAAACATGCAAGCTCCTGAAAATGGACGCAGAGCCATGCTCAATCATCCACCCAATCCTCCAACTCTAACGGGCAACATTCCTCGAGAGCGACCTCCAGACCATCAAACAACTCAAAATGTTTGTGGAAGTCACTATTCCACTACTTGTACCAATATGAGAATAACCTAATCAGGTAGTTGTCCATTGACTTGTTTATGTCGTCAACATTGTAGTTTGTCTACAATTTAGCAAGTATAAAATTCAAATAATTAAAAAATATTAAATTAAAAATAAAGTTAAATGTGGAAAACATTTTCTATCTAAGTGAGAGTTGTGAACTAAGCAGTCTAGGCTGGTGCCTATGAGAGTCTAGACAAGCGCCTAGGGAGGGACTTTAGGATACTGGTTTATACAAGTGTAGACAATGAGAAGTAAGAACTACACTGACAATGAGAGTTTTTTCAGTGTGTTGGGAACATGGTCCGGTAGATTAAGTGTCATAATTCAAGAGGTTGGATAATTGAAAAAAAAAATTCCAACCACTTGTATTATGATGAGTTGAAAAGTTCCCATTAGCAAGTGGAGGAAAGAGGCAAGTAAGACTACACACCAGGGCTCAACATCACAGTTGGATGTGCTAGACTCGACATCAAAATTAAGTACGATTACGTATTTTGTTAAAATATATAAATTAAAAAATAAAACCAAATTTATAGTACTGCTTTTCATATACTACATGTCTGTTAGAGATTTTTCAGTGTGTCGGGAACATGGCTTAGTACACTAAGTGTCATTATACAAGTGTTTCGATACTTGAAAAAAAAGTTTCCAACCACTTTTATTATGACACTTGGACAGGGTTGTATTTCTGAGACACTAGAAATTTTTTCACTAGCAAAGGGAAGAAAAAGGCGAGCATGACTACATGCTAGGGCTCGACATCACAGTTGGATGTGCTGGACTTGTCATCAAAATTAAGTTCGATTAATTATTTCGTTAAGATATACAAATTAAAAAATAAATTCAAATTTACATTATGGCTTTTCATATGCTACATGTATGTGACAGATTTTTCAGGGTGTCAGGACTCGTTATACAGGTGGTTCGATACTTGAAAAAGAAAAGTTTCCAACCACTTTTATTATGACACTTGATGTACCGGACAGTGTTCTTAACACATTGAAAAAGTTCTGCATGCCTGTTAAACTGTGTTGAGTTTTGATCCATATCCATTCACATATAACAATCATCACACATTGCCAAATTTAGAGCTCCAGACAACAAGATTAATGGTGTAATACCAAGAACTAGTATTATCTCAACCTAACCGAAACAAGAACTTTGCTATCATCCTCTTGTCCTAACATGTCCAACTATTCATGCCTAAATATGGCAGAACTAGCAAGGAGGTAAGGAGTTGTAGAAACTAGAAAATAAGATTAGGTCTAAGTTGTTGAAACTCTAGCCTGGTTTTGTTGCACCTTCAAACCTTTATAAACTTCAAACATTTTCGGATTTGAGATACAAGTCAGCAACAAAGATCAAAAGATTTTTGAGATATCGGTTTAATATATTCAAAGTACAAAGAGCTGTAAGACTCCTAAACTTTGTAGAGCGATGGCTGGAGGAGCATATGTTGGCGGTGGAGGAGGAAGGAGCTATGAAGGAGGTGTCACCATCTTTGTGCTTTTCACTTGTGTAGCGGCTGCCATGGGTGGTCTCCTCTTCGGATATGATCTCGGGATCTCAGGTAATTAAATCTGTAATTGTCTCTATGTTTAAAAGAATTGAGGTCATCAAGAGAAACAAGTACTGATCGGGTTTTGAATTATCGTGCATATATGCAGGGGGTGTGACTTTAATGGAGTCGTTCTTGAGCAAGTTCTTCCCATCTGTGCTCCACAAAATGAAGAATGAGACTGCTATTTGTAGCTAACTAGTTCAAAATTCTCGTCATGATTTGCAGTCTGTTCCCATTTATCTAGCGGAAATGGCTCCAACAAAGATTAGAGGAGCATTGAACATAGGGTTCCAAATGGCCATCACCATTAGTATTCTAGTGGCAGGTCTTGTCAACTTCGGCACAGCCAAGATCAAGGGCAGATATGGCTGGATAATCTCTCTTGCTCTTGTAGCCGTCCCTTCCTTGATGATGAGTCTCGCGGCAATCTTTCTTCTTGACACTCTAAATTCCATCTTAGAAAGAGGTAACCCCGACAAGGCCAGGAAAATGCTGAAAAAAATCTGTGGCACCGACAACGTTGATGAGGAGTTCCAAGACCTTCTTGACGCTACTGATGCTGCCCAAAAAGTGGAAAACCAGTGGACCGACATCACAGAGGCGAGATATAGGCCTCAACTTGTCATTTGCATTCTCCTTCCATTCTTCCAGCAGCTCACCTGGATCAATGTGATCATGTTTTACGCACCAGTTCTTTTCATGACTTTGGGGTTTGGAGATGAAGCATCCCTAATGTTTGCGGTCATCACCGGCGGTGTTAACATGGTTGCTACCTTTGTGTCCATTCTCGCAGTCGATAAGTTCGGAAGAAGGGTGTTGTTCCTTCAAGGTGGTGTGCAGATGCTCCTGTGCCAGGTACTTAAACACGATCAATTTAATAAAAACAATTGTTTGCCTGCTTTAATTTGTAAAGGACATTACCAAACTTACACACATGCATTGTAGGTTACTGTTGGAGTGATGATAGGCATGAAGTTTGGGCTCAGTGGAGTCGGATCCTTTACCAAAACTGAAGCTAATTGGATCTTGTTCTCGATCTGCACATATGTAGCAGCATTTGCATGGTCTTGGGGCCCATTGGGGTGGTTGGTGCCTAGTGAAATTTGCCCTCTAGAGATCCGATCAGCCGGACAAGCCATCAACGTCTCGATGAACATGTTGTTCACTTTTATCATTGGTCAAGTCTTCCTTAGCATGCTTTGCCACTTAAAGTTTGGTTTCTTCTTCTTCTTTGGCGGTTTTGTGATCATTATGACCATCTTCATCGCCTTCTTCTTGCCCGAGACGAAGAATGTTCCGATTGAAGAGATGAATAGAGTTTGGAAAGCTCACTGGTTCTGGGGCAAGTACATCCCTGATAAGGCTGTCAATTATGGTAGGCAAGACAAAGTTGTAGTTTGATGGAGCAAATCACAGTTGGATTTGTAAATAATCCAAGCATATGGGTTCTGATATAACAATGAAAAGTCGACAAGGGAAAGAAACCAATCTCGATAGAGAGACAATTAAGGGATCGGGGGATGATATTTGTGAATCACTTTGTTTTGTCCTACTCATTTTCGAGTTGTAATCAATAAGAATACACGATTCTTCCTTCTTAAACACAAATTATACGTGCATGTAGACCAAATACAATCAATAATCATCAACTTTGCAACTAATATACCGCCTTTTTTACGTTCATGTGTTTTAAGAAATATAGTCTGTATTTAGAGTAATCTTCCATATAATCATCCATCTAGGTGGAGAAGAAAAGAAGCTAACAGAGAATAATTTTCGAAATTTACAGCTCACTTTATACAATCGAATGCAAGTACAATACACTTAAGAAACTAAAAAGAAAATGAGGAAAGGATTACTCATATTACACACAGATTGAACCTGATGGAATTTGGCATCTCTGCAAATTCAAATGGAAGTGGAACTATGCAACTGGCATTGACTCCAAAAACGCATCCACATACTCTTGAAGCTTCGCTTTGGTAATTGCGCCTTCTCTCTGACTTTCTGGAACTTCCTTTCTGGTTGTGAAGAGAATCAAAGCCGACAACCCATAAACTTTATATTCTTCAATCAGTTTTGGGTTTGCATCATGATCTATCTTAACAACAGTTAACCTGTCTTTGTATTCCTGAGTGCAACATATAAACTAATACTTCAGATAATTTCTTTAGTTTGGACAACAATCAAAGGCACATTGATATCCAAATCTTGAAAGATACTACTTGTCCTCCCTATCTCTTTATGACATTTCCAAACGTTGTTCCAAAATGACCGTACATATCAAAGACAATGACATCGCTTCTGTCTTTCTTTTCTGACAAGAAATTAAACATTGTATCTGGAAGTGAGACTACTAGGGTCTTATTGGTCAAAGACTTAAGGGGCATCCAGTTACCAAAAGTGCTTCTAGCAGGGTTTGGCACAGAATAACTAAAAATGCTTCTAGATTCTAAAAGCGAGAGTATTGGGGTGTTTTTGAGCAAAATTAAAGGGCATCCAGTAACACAAAGTGCTTTTAGCAGTGTTTAGCATAAAATAACTAAAACAGCTTCTAGATTCTAAAAGCACTCTCGGTACTTTCTGGAGTCTTCACAAATCACTTCCAATTGCTTTTTCAAAGCACTTGGATTTTTAATGAAACTTTGTTGTGCTTCTAGTAGAAAAAGCGCATATGAGCATAAGTGTTTTTTCTACTCACTTTTAACAGTGCAGAGGACCGACCTATAACCTCCCATTTAAACATTATTTCAAACAGTAATCAAATTGTCAACCTTCAAGATCAAGTCTAAATCCTACAAAACTAATGGGAAATCGAAAGGCTCCCAAATCAGATAGAGAGGGGAGAGAGAGAGGAACCTGAGCGAGCCATTCCATTGCAGGCGAGATTAAGCGGCAAGGGCCACACCAACTGGCAACGAACTCGATGAGAACCGGACGGTCCGAGTTAAGAACAGAATCCCGGAACTAGGTCTCGTTAATTTCCTGAATACCAGCACTCGAAGCAATTGAAAACTTGGGAACCGTATGAACCGTACGAGAAGAAGAAGAATTGCGAAGGCCCGCTTGTCTTATTTGGCTTCCAGAACTGCAGGAGAATGAGGAGAAGAGCTTTGGAGCGGTAGGCGAAGAGTAAGAGCTTGAAGTAACTGTACGGACCAAAGGAAGTACGAGCTTGGAGACGACGTTGGCGTCCATGTTTTTTATCTTCAAATGAGGAGAAAGGAGGAGGGCGGAGGGGAAAGAAAGGAGCTGGTTTTGAGTGAAGGGGGAAAACAATGTTTGTATCACACTTGGCATGGGACATTTTTGGCCACGAAACGATAACCAAATGTTGTCATGCCATCCACTGTGCAAGTAGAAAGGAGGGGAGGCAGTTTATGTGCTAGATTTGATCATCTACCTCCCTTTTCACTTTCACATCTTTTCAATTTAAAAGGGGTTTTAGTTTTCAAGGGCTTCTCCTTTGTGAGGACAATTTTAAATTTCGCTCGTCGAATCATGTGGTTGTGTCTAGTCACACACATAGAATTGAGGCTCCTCAATCAGCTCTACTTTGTGACAAAATGACCGCACACGACTATACGTTCCAAAAAACTTGTTGTTTGATGGACATCTAGTCAACACAAATTGTAATAAGTTGTTGTTGGTTCCATTTTTACAATTAGAAAGTGAAATGGTTTAGAAATCAAACCGAACTTTCAATTGTGGTTTTGGTTAAGGATGGGCGTGGTTCAGCTTGATTCGGTTTGATACCAAAAATATTATCAAACTAACTACCATTTAACATTTCGGTTTGGATTTTGACCAATACCACTATTGAAACTAAACCAAACCAAATCACTGATAATCAATTTGAGTTGGTTGGTTTAAGCCCCAGTCCAACACATCAATAAAAGAAAAGTCCAACATTTCAAAAGTTTTAATCTTTTAAACATCCACACATCCTTCACATTCCAATTTGATCAAAACATTTTTCGGAACTAATAAGAAAATTTATCAAATTAAATAAAACTATGTTTCAATTAAAAAAAAAAAAAATCTCATACTACCAAACAATTTATTAGTTACAACCTCACATAAGCATAAAATACATACAAATCTCTAACTATTGTATCCATTAATCTTATATTATTTTGAGACTTAAAATACATATGAATCTCCAAACAACTTATAATATGTTGACATGTTTAAATTTAATACTTGAATACATTGTCGGTTTAATTCGATTATATCATTTTTAAAAATATCAAAGTAAAATCGGTTCAGTTTGATTTTTGCATTGTTTGACTTCTTTTAGTCAAAATCAAACCAAACCGACTAATATGATTCAGATCGATCTGTTTGGTCGGTTTGATGCCCATGCCAAGTATTGGTCCTCCGCCGCTCGTTAAGAGTGTTAGAGATTTGTAAAATGATATGGTTTTGTGCTAACTTATTTGGGAAGTGACTTGTGCAAAGCTTTTGTCTTCATATAACACCCATTATAATTACTTTTATGTCATTTGAATCGAATTAGGCAAAGGGATTCATTCAAGTGGAACAGAAGGATTGCATTAATAATAATGGGCCAAGACAAACAAAAAGAGGCAACTCCTTCCAGAATCCAGCCGAGCCCAGATAATGCTGGGTGGGCTCATCAAAATATCAGCAACCCAAATACAACCGCCATAAATAAAACTAAACAAATTAAAACAAAGCAAAGGGGAAAGAGGCGAGACAGAGTCTTAAACCCTGGAGAGATGGAGATGGACAAGATGACAGACCACATGGCCTCTCCATCCAATTCTCAGAAAACTGGTATTTTTCTCCTCCTAACTGCTTGCTTTTCCAGACCCAGAATTTTTTTTCTTTCAATTTTCTTGGTTTTTATTTATTTATTTTTTTAATTTGGGTTATTATTTCATGATTGCATATTCTTTTGATCGACTTTGAGGATTGTCATGTGATTTTTTTCTGTTAAAATTTAGTAAAATTTTTTTGTTAGTGCCAAGGTAGATTATAAAGCAAATTTTGAAGAAAATGATTTTTTATTTTTTATTTTTATTTTTTTTTAAACTTGATAATTAGCAGAGTCCTGGGGATGTTTTAATAGATATTGTTCATGATGTGTTGAATGTAATGCATTGAGTTTGATATTGAATCAATGAATTTTATGAGATTGGTCTTACTTGTATATTCGACATATGCAATGAAACTATGCATCAAATTAAATGAATGATGTGTTGTGATAAGCTCGAAAACTTCCCAAATGGGTTTGTAATCTTGCAATTCAAATTATTCTTTTAGTTGTGCATTGCCTTTAACCTCAGCTAACTGCTGTTTTATAGAATTGGAGTCAGTGTAAGTGTAATAAGTCAAACCTTTAAAGTTGTTCATTTAACTGATGTTGATATGTTGTGTATTTTCAGTTTCTGATGATGATGAAATTGACTATTCCGTCAAACCAGAGTTCTATGATTCAGATATTGATTACAAGGATGAGTTATGGGTTCAAAAGAAAAGGAAAGGTGGCACTTCTGATGCTGTGCTTAGTTGTCCATCTTGTTTCACCACGCTCTGCCTTGACTGTCAAAGGTATACACTTTTCTTTTTTTTTACAAGATTGTTGCGGAATGATTGGTAGTAGCATTCTTTTCTATCTATGAAAATATCTTTATGGCATGCCGTTTCCTTTTCTTGCTGTTATAGTTATAGGGAGGATCAATCGCTCTATCTATTTTACTCTTTAAATCTCTTTGTGTGGGTCTGAGTTTAGCATTGGTTGGAGCTCGGAGTTTTCTTTTTACAGCAGCATTCTCAATCTTGTTTGGGTGTTTTAGGCTATAAAAGCACTTGACATACGCAATATTAGGATCCCAGGCAAATTATGATTTAGGTCGACATTTGAAAAAGTGGACACTTAGAGTGGGAAAGTATTAGGGATATAATTTGCACTCTTTTTAGATTACTAAAGGAGAAGGGAAACAAAAAGAAACTTGAACTCTCTCCCGCACTTCTGATTAGTTTGAACTTTGATCATGGGAAGGAACTTTCATGGTCAATTGTATTGCCAATCAGCAGAAGCCATGAAGACGGTGTAGTTTCACAGCTTAATTGGCTGTATTCTGTCCAGTCTAGCCACATTTTCTTAACTTGTCCAGTCAAGGTTTTGTTAGTCGGATTTGAACTATTTAGATAACTTGTTGAAGTCTCGCGGTTTAAAGGATGGAATTTTAACAGAAGCTAAGTTCTCCAATCTCTTTGAGAAAATTTGACACCTTGTACATTGTCAGACATAAACTGTTCTTGATTCCATTGTTAGTAGCCTCCTGCTTTCAAGGGATTAGAAAAGTTCCAAGTCTTATGAAGATTAGTAACAAATTGCAAGTATTACATTGTTTTACACTGTTATTAGGATGATTGAGGTTTGCTGCTTTAAAAGAATTATTATTTGTAGAATTGTTCTTTCTACCATTGAAGAGTAAATTAGAATAACCTAATAAGAAGACAGCAGAGAAACGAAACCGAGGTTTGAACAAAGGGTTTTCTCCCATCAAGCGTATCTGATGCAAGGTTTTATTCATAAGGATGATTTTATAACTGTGTCTGCGTTGATATAATTTGTAAATGAAGCAAATACAGCCAAGGCATGAAACTAGATGGCCGAAACTGTGCAGACATAGTCACTGCTAATTTTGTGATATTGATTAAATCTAACTTGGGAAGAAGGGGGAGGGGGTTGCGCACTAACTGATACCTTACGGGTTGGGGTGCATTTTAAATCAGCACAACTTTTATAGCCAAGCTAATAAGCGTACATACTCGTATTTGTTCATAGTGGGGATATGGTAGCTTAACATGCGTTCTGAGATAAACCAAGAAGTGTTGTTCCAAGTGATTGATAAAGTTTTTGGTATCTTTTTTAAGAGATGATTTTTTTCCATCTAATTAGTGTCTCATCGTCTTGTTTCTTGAGAATTAGACTTAAGTAGTGGTTTTACAAGAATATAGCAAGTCTTTTAAGAGTGGTAGAATGTAGTGGTTTTGGCTGGCAGTGGTTAGATTACTTTTGGTGGATTTGGCAGTACTTCTTGAGGTGGCTTATCTGAGCTCGATTTCTTGCAGGCATGAAAAATATGTGACCCAGTACAGAGCAATTTTTGTTGAGAACTGCAAGATTGGAAGTGATCAAATAGTGCATCAAAAAGAAGCAAGACCTAGAAGGGGCAAAAGAGGGAGAGAATCTTCGGAGCATGAAGCAACTCCTGCAGGTAACCAGACCGTCAAGCAAGTTTGCTGCTTAGTTTGCTCAACTGAGGTAGGTGTAATCGACGCTGATGAAGTTTATCATTTCTTCAATGTTCTTCCAAGCGAGTCTTGACCTGCCAAGTTTCATTAATCCTGTAATATAAGCTTTGATCTTCTTTTCCGGTTACATTGGAGCTTAGAAGGGATCGAATGCTTGACCGATACCCATCTTAATGTGCTCCCCACCGCTCTCGAACTTGAGCTAACCCTGCGAGCTTATGCTGTGTATGTTTTCAACCAAACAAATAGACAAATAAAGCTGCTACTATTTACAAGTCTTTTTATTTCCATGGTGAGCTTTGCTCTCAAATGACAATACGCATTTGGATTTTCACTCTCTTTTTTACTTCTCTTTATTTTAATCCTTGATTTTCGTTTGAGCTGGTTCATCCCACGGCCAGAAAGAAATAGAGGAGTTCATTATGCGATTTTCACAAAACTCCTTCGGGTTTCGATGTGGTTCATCCCTCATGTAACGTTCTGTTGACATGTTAAAACTCAGACAAAATCTTTATATGTTTTCCTAGATAACATATGTTTTTACAAAATCTTTTCATGTTTTGTGCAAGTAGGACTCGCAGTAGAGGGATGGTGGGCTGTAGGAATATTTCGAAGCGTCCCACCAAACAAATTGTATTAAACAATAAACATGGCGTTGATTAGTGCATAAAACTTTCCGCAAACGAAATCATTGAATTCGGAACCATGATACCTTTAAAAAGATTTTTTTTTTTTTTTGGAAACTGGGGAATTCATTACCAGGCCAAAGATGTCAAGATTACATAGAAAGCCTACACCGAGGCAAAACAACTAACTAGGCAGAAAATAATCCGAGTAGCGCAGGGAGGTACAACGAGGAAAGATGCTGCAACAAATGCTAAGGCGTCGCCCCCTGCACTGCCATTACAAAATTAAGGTGGACAAGGTAAACCATCATTGTTAAGGACATGAACTAACGAAGATGGAGGTCGGTTGACCCATGAAACATTGCACATCTCCGGAAATCTCGTCGACGCTAACAAGTCCGCCTCCATATTGGCTAATCTTGGAATCCAAGATCAGCGACAGTCCTGGAAGGATTCCCCTAAGCGTTTG